CACTGTCTCTTCGATCAGTACAAAGTCCTGCTCTGAGAGGGAGGGTTTTCTCTCAGCTACAGCCAGCTCCTTTGGTCTGTGAGAACGGGAGGGAGAAACAAGTCTTTAAGAGCAAAAGAGTCTCATTTCCAAAACCAAGACTACATCCTATGTCCCACAGATGGCAGTTGAAGTGACTTGCAACAGCCTTCTAGTTCCATGTAAGGAATGCTGGAATTCCTGACTAGAGTTGAGACGCTCTTTGTCCTTGATGCAGGTGAAAGCCTCGTCATTGAGAAAGGAAAACAAGCTTCCAGAAATCATGGACCTTTTCCAGGAAGCTCAGGCATTCTCAAGTGAACAGCTTCCTGCCTGCTAGGTCTTATTCTCCTTTTTGATACACTGCACAATTCCTCTTGCCTTCAGTGGGAAACAATGAAAGAGCCTGCAGGCTCTCTGGGGAGGAGACCTGTAGGACTTTCCAGTCCTGTAATCCCAGGATCAATCACAGGGTGATTCAGGCCAGCCGGGATTTCAGGAGGCCTACAGCCCAATCTTGGGCTCCAAGTCCAGGAACCTCTGTTCTTTCAGCCTCTCTCTGTCCCCAGCTCCTCTGGTCTCCTTTGGATTGATTGTTTCCAAGGTTCATAGAGCAAGCACAAGGACACAGCTGTGCTGTATGTCAGGAGGCAACCACACCTGCCCACGTGCTCCCTTCTCCCGTCCACGCTACAAATGACGAGCAGGGAAAGTTCCTTCTTTGATGGGGGGGCCTGCTAAAGCCCAGCAGTGCCCACCCCTGCCCAGAGAAAGCAAGAAAGCTTAACACTCACAGGAGCTCCTGGACACTGAGCCCTCCTTCCATCCTCTCCTGCCACTCCGTCTGGGCTGTGGAGTCCTGACCGGCAGAAAGCTCTTCTGTCAGGGCCTGCAAAATGACCCTGAAGTTGGTATGTACGTGTCTCAACAGAAGCAGGGAGCATTTCCCTTCTCTGATCTCTTCAACTGACTTCCCCTCAGTCTTTCAAGCTTTAGGGAGTGGCCCTTAAGGACTCCCTGCCAGCCTGCACACCCAGACCCTTCCCTGTGCAATGCAGAGCTGTGTCGGATTCTTCTCCCCTGCCTTGGGGCATGTCAAAGTTCGGGCTGTGGTCTAAGTTTTGCCAGGAACTACTTCGATAGTCAATGGAGAGGGGCAGCTCTCTCCAGGGGAAGTGTCACCTACGTATCCTGCAAGGCCATGAACTGCGTCTTTGGACCGCTCTGTGCGCTGTCGACAGGGAGCCTGCACAGACACTGTGCACAAACCTGCTCCCTTTGACACTGGCAGCATGCAAGGACATCGTGCTGCCTCTTGTCTGGGACCAAAAGAGATTCACGGGCCAGTCAGGATAGCAGGAGACTGATGGCTCCACGTGGAGGTTCAGAACCCACTTCCCAGGTGTCAGGGGCTGCGGGGAAGCGCTGGAGTCGAGGAGAAACTCCAGCCCTCAGAACCTTCAGCCACAAAGGGCAAACGCTGTCTGAGCAGGAGCTTACAGCTCTGCACTGCACCAGAGACAGTGCCAACCAAAGCTGCCACTTACTGCTTCGCGGTGGTCAAGCCGTGGAGTGGCAACACGTGGAAATTCCTTGGCATCGCCCTCCTCTTTAGCCTCATCTTCAGGAAAAGCAAGAGCCAGAGGAGGTTCTGATGCTGGTGTTGTGCTCTGTGGACAGACAGCAGCGTGAGGGACAGGGAGGAAGCTGTCTTGCAGAACCTGATTTCTCTTGAGCTTCTATTTCCAGCTGGACAGCGGAGAAATCATGAAGTTTGATGAAAGGAGGATTCTAAGTCCTTCAAAGTCCCTTGGAATGGGTTAATTAGACCAATGAGATAGTAATGCATATTGCTGTGAATGAGATATTGCACCCTGGCTGGAATCAGCAATCAGTAACCTTGT